GGCTTAATTTATTGGTCAGGGACCTGGGAGGATTAGATTAAGGACATGGAAGTATGGAGGAAAGGACCTACGGAAGTCATTTTGAAGTGTGAAGATCTTCGTGTCACATGTCAACATCCATCAGAGACCAACCATCATGAAAGACAAAGTAGAATAAAATGACTTGGCCAAGTAACGTCAACTACCTATGTCCTCAACCATCCCAGTGCCAGGACACTGGGGCACTTATGTTGTAGTTATGGTGGCAGTGGTGTTGTGCTATACCTGGGATCAACCCTGGAGGAAACCAAGTCATCACTTCTTGCCAAGTTGGTGACATTTGATCCCTTACAAACCAAACCTGCACAGGGTAAAATTTTACTTGCTAGGATTGATAGTATCCTGGGCATGGGGTTGATATTCTTACCTGCAATGCCTCAACTAGCCAACCTCAACTAGCCACATACCTCCTGATCCATCAGCATTGGATATTGATTGCATAGCATCAGACCATGGGACCCACTTTATAACAAAGGTATACAGACATATAACCACAGTAGCCTCTGCTCTTATATCACACCATCCTGAAGCTGGCAGCTGACTGAGCAGTGGAATAGCCTTTCAAAGACCCACTAAGGTATCAACTTAGAGATGACACCGGCAGCCTGGGGCACTATCCTTCAGGATGTAGTGTACATTCTTGAATTAATGACTATTATATGGCACTATGTCCCCAAGAGGTAGAATACATGCATCCAGGAAATAAGGGGTGGAAGTGTGAGTGTAAGGGCAGGAATGGACACAGGGTAGGTTTTCTAGGATCCCATGCAGAACCGGGTAAAGGAGGAGTCAGAGTCCTCAGTGGTTTTGCAGGTTTTTATTGGAATTACCAGGTACATGGCGGGCAGGGGCGCTGGGAGGCGGGTAGGCTGGCAGGCCTCCCAGCCCCCGGCATGTCTTCACTCTATCTGGGCTTTCTGGTGTTCTCTCTGCTTCTCTCGTGCTTCTGCTTCTGCTTCTCTGCTGCTTCTTCTCTCAGTTTCTGCTAGCGTCCCCGTGACGCCGCCCTTATAAGCCCAATCTTAGCCCAAGTGAATCCCATCTACATATGCCCACACCCTACTCCAGGTGCCCGCCATCAGGCATGCATTCGGGACCACAGGGTTCCATCATCTATCCTAATGGCGGGAGGGCAGAAAAGCCTGATACTTTTTACCTTACCCTACACCATTACTCCCAGTGAACCATATAGGAAATGTGTACTTCCTGTCCTCGTAACCCTAGACTCTGAGTTTCTAGAAACCATGATTTCTGGAGACAGGATACTTTCACCAAGTTACACAGCAAGAGTCCTATTCAAGTAAGCTACACCTACTGCCTACAATTGCCAAGAGACCAGTAGACAAAAAATTATTCACTTTTTTGTGAATCTCTCCTTACTACCAGGAGGAGAGACCCAAGGGTTCACAGCCTGGAAAGGTCATACAGACCTGGGCCTAAGATCCTCAAGCTAAGTCAGTAGAAGTGCTAGCTGAGGCTGGGAACAAACCTAAATAGGTTAAAAAAAAAAAAAAGGAAAGAGGTGACTATCCACAAGGGGCCCTTAGAGCAGCTGTGTAGCTGGAACTTTATTTCTCCCACTAACTTTCCTTTTAGAAGTTTCTCCAGGACAAGAGATCAACCAGAATCCTGCACAAGTTATTAAAGAATGGAGTGAAACTATTTCACGAGTGAGTCCATGGATGCTGCGTGATGCCACGCAGGTGTCCACTTGAGGACTGCGCGTGCGTACACACACACACACACACACACACACACACACACACACCCCAACACCCCACCCCACCCCCTGCTGCTGGGTTTGTGCCTTCTGAGGATTCGCAGCTGAATCCTTTCCTAGAATTGCAACGGCCTCGCCCAAGGCCACACCCCCCTCTCAAGACCAGATGAAGTGCCTGTTGCCTCAATGGTCATCCCAGCCTGAGAACTGCCCCTCCTCCCCCATCAACTCCTGTTACCTGTTGCAGCTCACCTTCTTCCATGCCCAGCCCTGTTTTCCTCCCTCCCTAAGGTGCTGTTCCTGCCTCCCTCTCTGACCCACCTGCACACAAATTGTCATCTCAAACTTTGTTTCCCAAGGAACCCCAAATGATGACAATGCATATTTAGAGATAAGAAGGTAACCACCAAAAGAAAACAGTTTTAAAAAGTTACAAACGGTTTTCTCTAGGGAAAGGAACAGGGGCAAGGCAAGGTAGGGCAAGGGACTATCCTTACATTGCTTTTTGCTGTTCATTGTTTTTTAACAAGTGCATATATTACGTCCACAATTAAAACTCATCTAAACATTTTTTAAAGAATCTGATACTGTTAGCCCCATTTGAAATTCTTCAATTGTTTGCCATAGATCCTAGAATAATCCTTAAGAATTCTTAACCTAAGAAGACACACAAGTGACCAACAGACACATGGAAAGACACTATACATCTCTTTTTTTTTTTAAGATTTATTGATTTTTATACAAGAACAGGGGTACAGGCCAGATGTGCAGGAGGGTGAGAGGAGTCACCAGAGACAGAGTGGGGAACAGAACAGGCAGACTGACAGAAGTACACTGCTGAGGGGAGCAGCGGGCGGCAGGAGAGGTCTGCTACACCATGTGGGATTCTCGCCAGCTGGCCAGGATCAAACCCAGCACTGCAGAGGCTGCCGACAGCTTCACAGCACGGTGCTCAACTGTCTGCACCACCGGGGAGGCCAGACACTCTACATCTCTTATCAGAAAGGATATGCAAACCAAAAACACAATGAGATTTGCTTCACATTGGTTAGAATGGCTATTACATGAAAGTCAAGAAACAGTAAGTTGTTAGTGAGGATGTGAAGAGAAAAGGATCCTCGTCATGTTGGTGGGAATGTTTAATTGGTGTGGCCACTATGGAAAATAGTATGGAGGCATCTCAAAAAAATAAAAATAGACTGCCATATGATCCAGTAATCCCACTTCTAGATATTTATCCAAAGAATATGAAAACACTGATTTGAAAAGTTATCTGTACCCCTATGTTTATTGCAGCATTATTCACAATAACCAAGATATGGAAACAACCCACATGCCTGATGAACAGATAGAGACGATGTGGGATATACACACCAAGGAATACTATTCAACCATTAAAAAGGTTCTATTCTGCATTTGTGATAACATGGCTGCACTTTGAGGGGATTATGCTAGTAAATATATCAGAGGGAGAAAGACAAGTACATAGGGTTTTGTTCATTTGTGAAATATAAATGGGAAAAAAACTAATCAACAACAACAACAACAAAAACCTCTTAAACTTTCACAGCAGAATGGTGCTTACCAAAGGGGAAGGAGTCAGAAGGAATGTGTAGAGGGGTCCCCTTTGTTGGTGGATGGTGACTGGATATTGGGTGGTGGGTGTGGTGAGATTATGCATTTGCTGAAGTGAGAAAATGTACTTCTGGAATTTATGGTGTTGTTAGCTAACATCTCAAAAATAAAAATAAGGGAAAATGAAAAAAAAATTGAAGATATGTGATTGTCTTTACTCAATAAAGAGAAACCCATATGCAAAAAAAAAAAAAATTCCTAATGAGGTGTGTAAATCCCACCCCATCTGACCCTAGGGGTTTCCCATCTCATTTCGTATTATTCCTTCTCACTTTCTCAGCTACCTGGCCTTTTGGATTTCCAGTTTCTTGAGTGTGCCTCTCTTCCTCTTCTCTGGACTTTGAACAAGCTGTTCCCTCTGTCTGGAATATTTTGCTTGCCCTCTCCCACCTGGCTCACTCTTGTTCATTCATGATTTCAGCTACTTTCTCACAGATCTCTGCCCTCTCACTGTATTATGTCCCCTTTTCTCACTCTCACAGCACCTGTAGTTTATGTTTAATTGTCCACATTTCCTGTCTTCCTCCATGAGGATGTGTGTCTTATTATTGCCATATTGCTAGGAGCCAGCACGTGACAGCAGAGTAAACTTTCAATCTCTACTAAGGGAATTCTGCCAAAACGTTTTCCAGACTTTCAGCTCTGCGATCTGTGACGAGTTACATAGACTGCCGGAGCCTCCGTTTGCTCAAGTATAAAATGGGGGCAAAAAGAATACTCATCTTGGCCTCCCTGGTGGCGCAAGGGGTTAAGCACTGCACTATGAGGCAGTCCACAAGCTCTGCAGCACGAGTTCGAGCCCTGGCCAGCCAGGGAGAAACCCACATGGCGAGCAGACCTCTCCCCTCAGCAGTGTGTTTCAGTCAATCTGCCTGTTCTGTTCCCAGCTCTGTCTCTGGTGGATCCTCTCACCCCCCCACCCTCCCACCCCCACCCCAGCCCTGCATCTCTGGCCTGTACCCCAGCTCTTATGTGCATAAATAAATAAATCTTAAAAAAAAAATAATAAAAACTAAAAAAAAAAAAAATAGTCACCTCAGTTATTTTGAGGATTTAATAAGTAGTAAAACCCTGAGCACTGTGCCCAGTATCTAGTAAGCACTTGACGAATCATGCTTAAAAATAAAGAGTGTGTTAGTTTATATTCAGATCAGTAAATTCTGAGACGGTCATATTTACCCTTTCCAACAGTGAATAGTGTTTTTAAATATTTTTGCAAATACTGTAGGCCCAGAAATATGGAATCTCATGTTTTTTAGCCAATATGTATTTTCAAGCCAACAGCTAACAGCTTTTGTTAATAAAGATGGCTGCACCTCGCTGCTTCATGCCAGGTACACGATAAAGAAAGCAAATCTTCAGTGCTCCTCGCGCTTCCTGTCACAGCTTGTTTGGGGTGGAGGGTTGGGGGTGCATTGTGCAAAGCCCCGGCAACTAAATTGCCTGTATTTGCCACCACACCATCAGATTTCGCCAGAGTCCTTTTGCTGGTCTTTCTGGGAAGATCAGAGAGCCAGCTCTCCGCCAGCCCACCCAGGTGGCTGCCTCTGCCCTGAACGTTTCCAAGTGACGTAGAAACCTGCAGGCCCAGAGGCCCCTCCACACTTCCTGTGTAGGGTTCAGAAGCCCGCCTCCCCTCCCAGCTTCAGGTGCCTGCTTCGGGAAATGGTAAGTCTCCCTCTCACAAAGTCCATTTTTCATCCTAGCATTGGAAGCAATGGTCCCAGGGACCTCATCTCCAGGGAGGATTTTGAAAAAGTCCCCTGTTTTCTTTTTCAGAAGTAAGAAGCCAATTGGCTTCCGCCATCTTAGCTAGAGTAAGTGTCTAGTGAGAGAAGGATGAAGTCGGGAAATCACTGGAGAGTTCTGGGATTGTGCCTCTTAGCAGGTAAGATGGAATGAGAAGGCGTTTCTTCAGACCATGGAAAGGGTCACAGCCTCCCCTGATGCTGCCCAGTGTTACTGACAAGTCTTGTTTACTGGACAATGTAAGAAATTGTGCTACCTCAGAGTAGGGAATTGGAGAGGCCCAGGAGCCTATTCCAGGTCAGGCCCTAAAAAAGCCTTTGAGATGATCATGTCCATTGAAAGAAAAAAGGCCTCTCTGCCTCCAAAAATTAGCTTGTTCTGTTAGTGAACTTTAAGAACGATCACAAAAGAAATTGGCAGAACTCACCAATCTTCATTTGTTGTGAGAAGACCAGACTTGAACGCAATTTCTGCCCAGGTTAAAACCCACTTAGCATCTGAGACAATAAAACATCTCATCATTTTCAATATTTTTCAATTGACCCCAAAGCTTTCAATTAGTTTAGTCCTTTTTGAAGCAAGGTGAATTATAAATTGATAAATAACCAAGAGCAATTCCTTACCTCATAGGTGATGAAAGCTTTTTTAAGGTTGCCAGTTATCCAGTGCCACAAACCATGTAAAGAAAAATTCCTTATGTGTATTACTAATTTAATCTTTGAAAAGTAGACATTATATGTCCTATTTTACAGATGAAAAAGTGGATACCGAAAGAAGTTAAGTATCTTTTTTTTAAAACCACAGTTAGGAAGTGCTAAAACTGATCTGGGAAATCAGGACTGTATCTTCCAGGCTTGTGTTCCTAATGGCTCATTACATGGGACAAAACAGCTCATGATGGCTTTATTGTAGGGCCCTAAAAAATGCTCTGACAGCTAGGCCTCCTATCTCAGAGCCACAGCCATGATGTCCCCCCACTTCCTGCTTCTTCTTAGGTTTCTAAGCTTGAATATGCACACAGATGCCTGGGGAGGTTATTAAACTGCAGCTTCTGCTTCAGGAGTTCTGAATTTTTAATTTCAGATTCTGCATTTCTAATAATTTCTCGGGCTTATTAGTCTGCTGCTGGTCCAAGGAACATATTTTGACTCAGGCAGGTACATTTCCTGCGGAAGTAGTCAAGTATTTTCTTAGAGGCCTGTAGTAGAAATTATGCCTTTCCAAGAGACAGGGAATATCAAATATTCAAGCACCCTTAAATTTGGCCTCATAAGAATGTGCCTGGTCTGCTCTGGGTATGGGATGGGGTAGAGGTGTCTCATCCAATGTAGAATATGTAAAAGCTTCTGGTTAATGGAGAATTTCAGGATTATCAAAAACTTTCAGGCAATGCCAGGGAAGATGGTCATGGTAGTGTGAATTCAAGTTCTTGCTGAGTGAGGGGACCCTGGAGGGGCCCATGGAAATGTGATCAGCTCTTCTATACAGACTCAAGTTGATGAGTAGTCAGAGTTTCAAATATTTCCATCTGTGTCTCAAGCAGAAAACAAACGGAAAGATTGAACCATCAGAGTAGGAGGAGCCAGAGATGGAACACGGATGTCAACGTTTGTACCTACCCAAGAGCTTGATTTTCTTCCACAGTCAGAGACCAAGTTTCAAAAGGGAGACTTGGCTGCAAAATTCTTTGGCTGTGTCTCAGGATCCCAAAAAGCAGCCCCAACTTTTTCTAATTTCTGTTGGTCAAATATAGAGTTAGATACTTATTTCTCTGTTTTACCCCAAATTGACCAGGAAACCCTGGTCAATACCCAGCAGTACATGCTGCTCCCCTCGGGTATAGGAATGGCTGTGATCCAGTCGTAGTTGGGAAGGATTTTAGATGTTCATAAATGGCCAGGCTAACCCACAGCACTTTTTCTGCTTGGAATTATAGACACTTACAATGTTTATTAACTCATTATTATCATTTATTTTCTAGTTGGCGCTTGGGTGCAAGCGGGTAAGATATGTTTTCTTTCCTTATTATGAAATCGGCCCAGGATTGTTTGTATTTATAAGTGGAACATTCTCCCAACCGCTACAGAGCTCTCACAGAGACTAATAGAGAAGGTTTCTACCATCTTCTCCTTTGTGTTTTCCTCCTAAGTCTAAAGAGAATTCTAGCCAACAAGAGGGAAGCAACAGAGATCACAGGAAATCATGAATCCTAACTATTCAAAAGAAAAAAATTGAGACAACTAAATTAGGTTGAAAGCACCAACAGTTTACATTTATTTACATTTCATATTTGATGTAAATTCTTGTAGGTATGGCAGGAACACTTGCACAGGATGCACTTGCACAGACACGGAGGCAGTATTGACTATCCATTCAGAATCACACGTCTGATCCCTCCAAATGTGTGTGTGCATGTGCGCTCATGTGTGCACATGCATATGTGTCTGGCTTGGACTTTTCTCAATCATAGCAGTAGTGTCAGGAGTGTACCAATATCAGAAGACTTTCTATTCAACTGGCTCCTCCAAACCGAGTGAACAGATTTTTTGTTTAAAAGCAATCACTGTGCCAATCTCCATTCATTTGCGCTGCCTGTTAGTGTCCTTAGGATCCTTCATTTTTCTTTTTGCTATGCAGCATGATTTAACATTACATTATTGATAGATAAGAGATGTCAAAAGCGCTAATATGCCTTAGGATAACATTTCTCTGCATGCATTTAGAGTTTATTTTTTTCGATGACTTAATTTATGCCAAATATAGATTTCCCCCATCTATAATAACTTGTAATTGACAAATAAAATTGCGTAAGTTTGAAGTGTACAATATAATGACTTACTTTGTGCATGTACTACAAAATGATTACTTAAGACCTATTTTTGTAAATAGTCATGGGTTGTTTATTGTAAGACATAGGACTCAACATAGCTTTTCAAATACAGCCATGGGAAATTTGAAGAGTCATTGTTTACTAAAGGTTAAGGGAAGAATCCTAACCCATGGGTAGGGTCTGATCTTTATAACTAATAAGCATATTGCTAATGGTTTCTTATCATTTCTCTTTCAGAAAATGACTACGGTGGTAAGAGGATTTTCATTCCATGCAACCTCTTTTCAAATGTAGAGCAAAGTGGACAATCACAATAATAAATGCTGCAAACTACAATTATTAAAGGGAAAACAATTATCTTTTAGTGGGAACTGTAGGAGATATGCGTGTTTCTTTCTAAGTGTCATGTAGGCTGAGAGCTAACCATGATATGTACCTGGAGCATATGTTCAAGGAAAAATACGCACATGGATGTGGTTGGAGCCCCCACTGTTTTTGTGTAAATCATGAGTTCATTGAAGACAGAGGCAGACTCTTATTTACCTGGCCTAGTGTCTGGCACATAGTAGGTGCTCAATGAATATTGTTTAAAGATTTATTTATACAAGAACTGGGGTATAGGCCAGAGGTGCAGAAGGGTGAGAAGATCCACCAGAGATAGAGTGGGAAGCAGAATAGGTAGACGGACCGAAAACACTGCTGAGGGGAGCAGCAGGTGAGACAGGAGAGGTCTGCTGCTCCATGTGGGTATCTCCCTGGCAGTCCAGGAATTGAACCTGCACTGCAGAGGCTATGGGCCACTTCATAGTGCTGCACTCAACCCCTTGTGCCACCCGGGAGGCCCTCAATGAATATTTTTGAAATGAATAATTGATGATATACATGAATGCATCGCTAATTTCCTCTTCTCAAGAAGCTGATGGTCTTGTGGGAGAAACAAAAAATTGAAATTATACTGTGTTGCATGCTATGATATGGATAGATAAAGACTAAACAAAGAATGGAGAAGTGAGTGATCAATCTACAGAGGATAGTTGGGGAAGGCTCCCAAGAGGAGGTTCATTCTTGAGCTAAGTTTTAAAGCATAAGCTTGTATTTCAGGGAAGAAGAGTATATTAGCCAGAGGAGATAAGACTGCCATGTGAGGTTAAGAGCATAACTCTGAAACTAGATGCCATATTTTAACTAGTTCAACTCCTTACTTGCAATGATTCACTTAACTTCCCTGTGCCATAGTATCATCATGTGCAAAATGGAAATCATCAAGTTACCTAGCTTGCATGGCCGTGATGAAGATTGAATGAATAATTCTTAGAACATTATCTGACCTATAGAATGAATTTTGACTTCAGGGGAATTTTAGCTGTAGGAAGCTGATAGACTAGATAATAAAAATTCAAGTTTATTCTAGGGATACCCCTAAACATTTTACCTAATTTTCCTCATTTAATTCTCCTAACATCTTTATTCTACAGATAAGAAAACCTAGATCCTAGATTTATCATAATCAAAAACATTTAATTGTTATTTTTAATAACATTTAATCTAAAATAATTAATAGCTCATTATAATTAATTAATTAACTAATGTGAGCACGAAGATAAGTACAAATGCAGATTTAGCTGATAACGACACTCATTTTCTTTTTATTTTTGGGGTATAGGCCAGAGGTGCGGGAGGTGAGCAGATTCACCAGAGGCAGAGTGGGGAGCAGAACAGGCAAATCTACTGAAATACACTGCTGAGGGGAGCAGCAGGAGAGACAGGAGAGGTCTGCTGCACCGTATGTGAGTTAGCTCCATGGCTGGGCGTGGAACTCAGGCCTTAATAGCATTGAGACTTAACCCCCAGACTATCCGAGAGAACCCCTCATTTTCTTAATTATTATGAAATATTGTGTCTGGATGTCTATTAAATCTTAGGAGAACACCTGTTCCTGAGCATAAGCATCAAGGCCCTTGGTGGGCATGTGTAAATCTGAGCTCTGCTGCTGAATTTGTGCAATGAAAGTTGTGAGCCATCTTCACCTTTCTTTTTCTAACAAATGTACCAGAGCGAAACATCTTTCTTTTTAAATTATTTTATTATGATTTCTAGTTGATTTTTAATATTTCTAAGAAATATCAGTGTGGGAAAATTATTTCTAAGTCAAAATAACATCAACTAGGGCCTCCCCTGGTGGCGCAGTGGTTGAGCACTGGGCTGCGAAGCTGCCTGCAGCCTCTGCAGTGCCATTTCCATCCCCAGCCGCTGAGCTAGGGTTCCACATGGCTCGCAGACCTCTCCTGCCGCCTGCTGCTCCCCTCAGCAGTGTACTTCATCAGTTTGCCTGTTCTGTTCCCCGCTCTGTCTTTGGTGAATCCTCTCACCCTCCCGCGTTTCTGACTATTCCCAGTGCTTGTATAAATAAATAAATAAATCTTTTTTTAAAAAAGAATAACATCAACATATTATCACTATACTCAATTCCCAATATTACCATACACATCTGGACAATGACGTGTTTGCTTTCAGGAATCTCAGCCAGGGAGCTGTCTGATCAACTGGGTCAGAACTAACCTCTGTTCTCCTTTGGTGCGGGACCCCAAGGAGGAAAAAAGGAAAAGAATTAGCATTTTTTTCTGAGTTATGTGCTATCATTTTCACCTTCATAATCCATTCCATTCTCACAAATACCCTGTGAGGTGGGTGTTTCAGCTTCATTTTCCACCTTCATAATCCATTCCATTCTCACAAATACCCTGTGAGGTGGGTGTTTCAACTTCATTTTCCAGATGATGAAACTAGGCTCAAAGACATTAAATGATTTGCTCTTATTCACAAACCTGGGGCAGACCTGGTATTTAGACACAGGACTCTGACTCTGAGTCCAGTGCTGGTTTCCCAATAGCATACAGTAATACCTTTAATAGAGAAAGGCCTGTCTCTGAGCACCACTGCCTCACCTCTCTCCTAGCTGTCTAGTCAGGCTCCAGCATATCTTGCCCTGCTGTAAGGAAGTAGCTGGATTTCAGTTGTCCACACCAGTGGTCCCTCCTTCTAACAAAACTGATTGAGAGATGATTATACTAAGAGGTCATTTTAAATAAATCCTTTTTATTTATTAGAAGAACCATTCCCTTAAAATATCTAGAGTGTTCTTACATAATTTAAGGACAATAAAAGAAAAGTGGTATAGAATAAAAAGAAAGATGTTTGATCTCTATTATGAGGGATTGTGCTAGTTATAAAAAAGAACTTTTGGGCTTCCCTGGTGGTGCAGGGGGTTAATTCTCAACACTATGAAGTTATCAGCAGCCACTGCAGCACAAGTTTGATCTGGCCAGTTTGCTGACACACATGGTGCAGCAGACCTCTCCTGTCTCCTCCGCTGCTCCCCTCAGCAGGGTATTTCAGTCAATCTGACTGTTCTGCTCCCCACTCTGTCTCTGGTGAATCCTCTCATCCTCCTGCATCTCTGGCCTATACACCAGCTCTTGTATGCACAAATAAATGAATTTAAAAAAAAAAAAAGAACTGAATACTAAAAAAAAAAATAGGTGAACACAAGAACTAATGATTCAGAGGTGGGAAGGACTTTATCTCTAAGAAGGCCTCTCCTATCTCTGTGAAATATGATTCTTGTTAATGCAAGGAGATAATCATGAAGACTTTAGAATTTTAACTTTTAGAATGTTAACTTTCTGAGCTTTCATGGGTTTATATGTAGGAGCACATGCTGGTACACTATCAATTTCATGTATCTGAGTTGTCTCTATGAGCATGCCTCATTGGCTAGGTATGTCCCTTGCCTTTAAGATTTAGGGCACCCTAAAGGAGGGGCCCACTGGGAATTCTTTTTTTTTCTTTCTCTCCATCCCCCTTTCCGATATCCCAATGTCTGGGCCTAAACTCTGAGGTTACCTTCAAAAGATTCTCTATTCCCTCTTCTACATATTCCATCTTTCATGCCCTCTGGTTTAGTTCTGTAATTTTTCTTTCTCCCTTTCTCCAGAATATGAAATCTCCATCTCTGGAACCACAGTAATGCTGACATGCCCTTTTGAGGAAGATTCCATAAAATGGAAGTTGGGTGAAATAGATTTAAAAAGTGCCGATAAAACCTATAAGGTGGAAAATTTTTCAGAAGTGAAACACAGTGGTACTTATTTCTGTCATAAAGAAAAGGAAAAAAATGGTGTCTACCTGAAGGCAAGAGGTAATGTAGTGAATAGTCTAGTCACAAGCCCTACTAGACTCTTTCTATCACGTCCAGAATTATGGCACACTGATGGGACTTTATCTGATCCTTTATTCAGAAAAATAAGTCCTTCAGGAGGATTTGCAAAGGAGACTCAAGACCACCATACTAAAATGTCACAAATTAAGGCATAATAATAAATAATGATAGCTAACATTTGCCGGGTGCTTAGTAAGTTTCAAGCACTAGAACAAGCACTCGCCAGCAATTTTTTTAGTGTAAACTTCTCAAAAATCATGTTAAATACTATTTTTATTCCCATTTCATAAATGAGAAAACAGAGGCTTGGTGAATTGAAGCACATTTCACAACTCTCAGTCAGTAAGTAAGGGAACTGGGACTTGAATCTGGGACTGCCTGACTGCAGAGCTTCTGTTCACAAGCACCACACATTGCTTGTTGTAAACGAGTTGGTCAAAGCAAGCATGTGAGCACTGAGGTGACCTTCTTTGTGCCTTCCTCATCTCCGGTGTCCTGTATCTTCCTTTCTTCTTACCCCCCACCCCCACCCCCACAGTGTGTGAGAACTGCATGGAGGTGAATGTGATGGCGGTGGCCGTAATCATCATAGTGGACGTCTGCATTACTCTGGGCCTGCTGTTTGTGGTATATTACTGGAGCAAGAACAGAAAGGCCAAGGCCAAGCCTGTGACGAGGGCGACGGGTACCGGTGGCAGGCCCAGGGGTAAGAAATATGGAGAGTAGGTGAGATTCCCGCCAAGGGGGGATACCAACCAGGACCATCATGGGCAAGAAGTCCACAGTTAGGTCAAACAGCTTCTGTAGCACATTTCCTGTGGTGTCAAAATCTCCACAGAGTGTTTTACATCTCAGGTCATTTCACCCTTTCCCACTCTAAGAGAGTACAAAAAAGTTTATTGACAGGATGGGCTTTCTCACACGCCTATCAGGGTCCTGAAATAATCACATTCCATGTCCAAGCCGTGGGAAGAGGAACCTTCAGACATTAGTTCCTGCCTTTTCCTCTCTCTTTCCCCATGGAAAGACAGTGGAAGGATCTTGTGTTAAGGAGGACCACAAAGCAATGAGCAGTGCGGGTGTCATTAGAGGTGGGATGAAAGAAGGAAAAAGAGTAAGGATGACTGAGATGGAATAAAGGAGAAGTTGAGGGGCTTCTTGAGCTGGGTCTCATTGCATGAAATTGGTGTTTTCTCATGGAAATGAGTGTTTCCCTCCTTCCTTCTCTGCAGGGCAAAACAAGGAGCGGCCACCACCAGTTCCCAACCCAGACTATGAGGTAATAGGGGATCGAGTGGAGAGAGTGGTCCTTCTAAGGGACAAGGGAATAGATGGGACTACCTGTCTGGCCTCCCAGAATAGTCCACCATGTGCCTGCCTCTGCCTCCTTCAGAGTCCAATATGGCCGCCATCCCAATGGCTGCATGACTTCATCATGACCCGCATGATCACTGAGCAGTGGGACTGGGGTGGGCACCCCCCTTTCTCTGATTTATTCATTAGCTAGGATACAGCCACGGGGAATACCAATATGCACATTCTAACATGATGAACTGAAGACTGATGTCCCACTCACAGAGACCAGTACAGTCATACCAGTTATTAAAATGCTTCATCACTGGCAAATAACCCCACACTCCCACCCCAACCCCCAGCATGCACCCTGCCAGACATCACAGCCTCTCCCCTATTAGACTGCCTCTTGATTTGGCAGCTAAAGAGTTAATACCTGGCATAGCAGAGGACCACTGGGATTATCCTGATCAGTTGGTGTGTGCATTACTGGTTTTTAAATATTTTGAACATCACACCAAGACAGGCTCAGCAGATATTTATTAGGTACCAGCCACTTACATAGCGTTCGCTTTTGACTTCATTTAATCCTGACAGATGCCCTTAGAGGTGGGTCTGCAGATCGCCATGTTTGAGATTGGAAAGTTGAGGTTCACAGAAAGAGGGGCTGGTTCAGGTCTATTACCAGTCACTGCCAAGTTAAAATTACAATCTGCCTCCATTTCACTGAAGCTAGATTTTCAGAAGCCCTTCTTTTTTAGGCACTGCTTCCTTCCACCCTGCTCACAACCCCCCTCTCTCCCTCTTAGCCCATCCGGAAAGGCCAGCGGGACCTGTATGCGGGTCTGAACCACAGAGGCGTCTGACAGCTCCTGAGGACACTGCCTCCCCCTGGCCCAGGTCTGGCTCTTCTCCAGGCTCTCTGCTACTCCTTGTTCCCAGAAGAGTTTTGCACCCGCAGGAAAATTGTCCCTGTGTTAGGGGGAAAAGGATGTCCTAAAATCGGGGCTGCCCTAAAACACCTGTGCTTCTGTGGAACTCACACCCTACAGCTTTGTTCCCAGATGCCTCCGTCCTGCTGCCTTTGCTGGCTCCCTGTTCTAGGATCTTGCTGCTTCGTTGTCCTTTGAAACAACACGACTGCCCATGGCCTCACAGCTGGCCTGGCCCTTTGTCAGGATATTTATTCTGATTATTCACCCACCCACCCCCAGTTAACCTGCTTCCCTGGTGGACATTACTTCTTCCTCTAGTTCTTTCTTTTTCCTGCATAGTTGTCCTCACCCCTAATTATTTCATTTAATTGTCCATTTTTCCTGTTGTCTCTTAGGCAACCCTCTGAGGGAACAGGCGGAAATGCTGGCGGAGATTCTGCCTGTTCCCCATTCACAGACCCAGCCAAGACCCAGCCCTACAGGCTCCTCACCCCACTGCTGCCCACCTTCCACGGCCCCCTCAAGGGTCTTTTGCAACTTCATGAATATGCTAAGCTCCTTGTCAGCTGAAAGATAAAAGAAATAAAGTGTATTTGACAGAAAAGTTACTGACTGTCCCTCCTTATTGGGAGATCCTGAGAGGCTGCCTGATTTCCTGAGATGACTCAGATCCCCCTACCTTTGGTTAATTCCCAGCGATGATCCCAAATGCACTTTCTACCTATTTCCACAGCTGGTAGTGTTATAGAGCAACCCCGATATTAAACGGGTTCCTGGCTGTGGGTCCTCACCCGCGCGCTTTAAAGGGACTTATGAATACTCTACTACAGACACACGCAAAAGGGTTAATAAAAGGTTTATTTACAAGAGAAAAAGAAATAAGGAAAATGTACAACTCAGGGAAAAATAGGGAAATAAAGTCTTTAATGCGTCCTACCCGATCCGACGACCTGGAAACCCCAAAGTCACTCTCAGAGCTAGACGGACGCCGCGAGCTGGCCGAGGGCCCCAAAATGGAGAGACCCCCAAAGCCCACGTGTCTGCCTTTTGTATCCCCCTGGCTGCTTAACCCCACCCTCAGGTCCCAGCCACCTTCCCTTTGGTGGTGATGGGATTTGGAGTTCCCAGTGTCTTTGGCTTTGACCTGGGGTGGGGGTGGAGTCCACAAAGCCTGTATGGAATTTGCTTTGGGACTGCCTTTTCCCCCTAACAGTAGGGGGGTTCACAGAAGTTCTCTTTGGAGAGGGCATCCAAAGAGAGAGAGAAAATGAGAGCGAGAGAAAGAGAGATTCAGAGAGATTGAGAAAGAGAGAAAGAAAGAGAGAGAGAACAGTCATTTGACTAACTTCGAGGACAACACCAAGGGCGCAGAGAGCAACTGATGCTCCCTGAGGGAGAGAGCAGCTCAGAAAATGGGCAAGACAGAAAAACAGTCCCAAAGACCCAGGAAGACCATAAGTGTGAAGGGTGGGGGTGTAAAGGGCTGGGGGATGGGACACCGGTTTCCACGAGCTGCCTTGAAAAGAAAGAGTCACTGAGCAGGGCTGGGGGAGGTGGAGGAGGGAGGTGCCAGAGGCAGCAGAACTGCAGCCAGAGCAGGTTGCGGTTGAGCAGCCAGGATGTGGGCTGAGCGCTGAATGAGGCAAGAGGCAAGGCAGCCACCAGAGGCCTGTGTGGGAGGCTCCCATGCTCAGCTTGCACAGAGAAAGCCGGAGCAGTGAGTATCTGGCCTAGTCCAGCTCAAGCCAGCAGGTCCTCTTCTCCCCCTCACTGCATGAGGTCACCTCCCTGGTGACCACAGAGCTATTTTTGTGTGTGGCCACGTCTGAAAAAGCCATTCGCGGTGAGCAACCCTCCACCTACTGTACTCGGTTAGCCCTGGGCTGGTGGCCGCAGTTGCTGAGTATGGGTCCCGTGGAAGAGCTGCTGCTTTCCCACTAAGTGCTCAGCTCTTACCTTCAAAGGAGGTTCCATGTATTTGATGACGCCCAGTCAGAGGAGGTGTAGCTCCGTGTAGTAAACACAAAACAGGCATTGAGTGAACATTACAGCAGGTCCTCAAATAATGGCATTTTATTCAACATCATCTATTAGTGTGCTGATGAGAAAGGAAATCCGTTCCCTGCTTGGGCCAGTCCATGTGAGTTTGCACATTCTTGTCATGTCTGCATGGATTGTCTGTGGGTACTTTGGTTTCCTCCCACATCCCATTGGTTTCTCTCAGTTGTCCCTGTCTGAGTGAATGTGAGTGTGAGTGTGCCCTGAGAAGGGAGGGCTTCCTGTCCAGGGCTGAGCATCCTGACCTGCCAGGATAAGCACCAGAGAGCCTAGACTGGAATAAACACGTTAGAGATGAATGCATGCATGTATGCAAAGTATTACATAGTATTAGGAGTAATTGGGGTCTTTATTTAGAAGTTTGGTCATGTTTTTGTGACCAGAAACATGTTGTGGGAACTGAACTCATTTATATCAATTAGCCTAAGGTCAAGTCCCAGTTTCCAAGAAGCTATCAATAACATTGAGGACTTACTGCGCTATGCTCTAGAAATTGCACTTGGCACTTGGTGTGCATTATCTCATTAATGCTCACAACTAGATAAGGTAGGTGGTGGTGTCCTCATTTTACAGGTGAGGTTATAGAGATTTAAAGAAGTTAAGTCATTCCCCATGTTGCACAGTGATGAGGGGCAGAGCTGGAATTAGCAGCCAGGACTGTCCAGCTCTCTTGTCTGAACAGCCATCGCTACTGATTATGATCATAAAGAATGCTCTCCATCTTCCTGCCTGTATAGCTCTGTATTTAATTGCTTAGGTGTTCCTTCAATAAGTGCTTTTCTTTCCTTTTTTTTTTTTTTTTTTTTTGTGGGACCCTTGCCGGCGGCCGGGGAACGAACCAGGGCTGCAGAGGCTGCGGACAGCTTCTGCAGCCCAGCGCTCAACCGCTGTGTCACCAGGGGAGGCCCATCAATAAGTGCTTTTCTAATCACTCATGTGGCAGAACAACACTGTGCTAAATGTTAAAGGAATACAAATAAACAGTTCCTGTCTTCAAGGAGATTATAATTCATTAAGAATGGACTTTAGGGTCCTCCCTGATGGCGCAAGGGTTAAATTGCAGTATTATGAAGCTATCCACAGCCACTGGAGCACCAGTTCAATCCTCGGCCAGGGAGATAACCCACATGGCGCATCAGACCTCTCCTGTCTCACCCACTGCTCCCCTCAGCAGTGTATTTCAGTCAATCCACCTGTTCTGCTCCCTGCTCTGTGTCTGATGAATCTTCTCAACTCCCCCCAATCCCTGCACCACTGGCCTGTACCCCAGTTCTTGTAAGCATAAATAAATAAATCTTTGAAAAAAAAGAATGGCCTTTAGATCTCTGCCCTTCTCTACTAAGCTTCCCGAAAGAGACATCTACACTAGCTACTTCAACTTGCTCATTTCCCCCAAACCCCTGCCTCCTGGCTTCTCTACAGCCACTCCCAAAACTCTTGTAGAAGCCAGTGGCAGTGCCCTCCTTTTTCCAATTCCAAGAGGCCTGCCTTTCAAAACAGACTCCTCACAGGTACAACAAAGGTTGACTGCTCATTTCCTTGTCTTCCATGATGCCTACAACTCTTCCCCTTCTCGATTCCTTCGAACTCCTCACTCCACATTATGGACTCCTAATTAGGAAACAGATCTGATTACCTGACATCTGCCCCTTCTCCTATCCTGTGACTAGACACAATGACAAAAAACATTTCCCAACTTTTCCCAATGAGCCTTGATCTCTTTGACCCTAAGTACTCTTTTTATTCAGGAATTTCTTAAAGTAGAAGGATTGGAGGAGATGCTAAGAAACCAGAAAGACCTTCACTTTCCTGATAACTCAGAAACCAAAGACAATTCCAGCATCACAGTATACCTGTCACTACATAACCACACCCTGTTCACTCATTAGGGTGTGGACCCAGAGGTCCTGTTTACTCCAATCTCCTATCCACACTCTCAGACTTAAAACTGAGAACAACAGCTCTCTTAATTTCTCTTTTATCCTGATCTTGAGCATGCGTTTTACTTGTGAAGTCTGACCACAGGTACCCACTGGTTTCCGATACTGACTGGCATCAGGGTCAAATGTCTTCTATCAAAATGAAATGTAGATGAGAGGATTGAAAGTGGACTTGAAATTCTGAGCAGGTTTCCTAATTGTGTGGCAAAGGCAGAGTAATACAGGGTAAAGGTGAATGCTGAGTGAGGAAGATAAGAGGGAGATTATATAGGAGGCAGATTATATAGAGAAGGTAGAGGCTAAGAGAAATGAACAGCTTATGAGTACCCTGCAGTTGCCATAGGATACAGCACATGGATGGAACACAGTGAAGAAAGGAGTATAAAATAAAGGAAAGGTCAAGAATATAAAAGAGGGCCTCCCTGGTGGAGCATAGGGTTAAGCACCCCACTATGAAGCAATCTGCAACCTCTGCAGCACGAGTTCGATCCCCCGGCCGGCCAGGGAGCAACCCACATGGCGCAGCAGACCTCTCCTGTCTCACATGCTGCTCCCCTCAGCAGTGTATTTCAGTTGGTCTGCCTGTTCTGTTCTCCATTCTGTCTCTGGTGAATCCTCTCACTGCCCCCCCACTCCCCCGCATCTCTAGCCTGTACCCCAGCTCTTGTATGCATAAATAAATAAATCTTTTAAAAAATATATAAAAGAAAAAGATAAATTTCTTCCTCTGGCCAAAGTGAAGTAACAGGGATTGGGTCTACCCTTCTGCCTGGAACAACTAAAACTTGAGATAAAATGAAAATATTTTGAATATTGGCACTGGATACCAGGCAACCATGGATATTGATCTCTGAGAGATGGAAAACAAACAAGGAGATCTCTAGGATTTCTCTACTTCCTATCTAGACAAGAAGGCTGTGGAACAGAAAGGCAGAACCAAGCAGAGCCTAGAAAGTTCTGACCCCTCTTCTCCAGTCTTTAGCTGGGTACTGATCAGTGTATGCAAGTAAGGAAACTATGAGAGCAAAAAAAGAATTATTTGAACAATTGGAAACTGAAGTTTTTTAAAATGCAAAAGCATCAAAACATGAACTATAAAATACTTAGGGATAAATCTGACAAAAGACTCGTTCATAGACTCAAACACTCAATATTGTTATCAATTCCCCCAAATGGATCTACACTTCCAATGCAATTTTGATGACAATCTCAGTAAGAATGTTGTAGTAAAGGAGAAGTCAATTATAGGCGAGTACAAAGGACCTAGAAGAATTAAACCACTTTCTTTAAAGTTGTATCCCAAGGCCTCCCCGGTGGCGCAGCGGTTGAGCACTGGGTTGTGAAGCTGCCCGCAGCCTCTGCAGTGCCAGTTCGATCCCCGGTTGCTCCCCGGCCACCGGAGGAGGGTCCCACATGGCGCACAGACCTCTCCTGCCGCTGCTCCCCTCAGCAGTGTACTTCGGTCCTTCTGCCTGCTCTGCTCCCCGCTCTGGCTCTGGTGAATTCTCTCACCCTCCCGCGCTTCTGACTGTACCCAGTGCTTGTATAATAAAATAAATAAAATCTTAAAAAAAAAATAAGTTGTATCCCAGTCATTCCACTCCTGAGTGTTTATTCAATAACAATAAAAGCAAGTGAGCTCACAATAACTTTTACATGAATGTTCATAGGAGCTTTATTTGAATAGCACAACCAAGAAACCACCCAAAAAGACTACCAACAGGTGAATGTATAAACAAGGCATGGTATATACGTATAATGGAATATTACTGAATTATAAAAAGGAAATGATTGTTGATACATACAACAGGATACATGAATCTCAAAATAATTATGCTAAGGAAAGAGTGGATTTAAAAAGGATACATATTATAGTATGTAATATTGATTATGTTAGTAATATTACACGTTATCTCATGGATACAAAATTCAATAGAAATTAAATCTATAGTGACTAAGCAGGTCAGCAGTTGCCTGGAGGGCTGGGGTGAAAGATGGGAAGGAGGGGAAGAGAGGAGAGCCACCTGCAAAGGGACACAAGGAAACTGTTCAGGGTGTTGACTTGTTCATTACCTTGATTATGGTGATGTTTCTCAAGAATATACATATGCCAAAACTTATATCTTAAATATATAATTTACCCATGTTTGTAAAATTTGTTTTTTAAAAGCACAAAAAGAGAGAGAGATGGAAGGGACATAAGATTCCCAAAGGGCTCAGGTGGAGGACTGTGTGTCACATTGGTATCGCCCTGCAGAGTTTTTAAAGTCTTGATTCCCCAGGTCAGTAAAACCAGAATTTCTGAGGGTGCTTCACAGGCTTCAGTACTTGTAAAGTTCTCCAGGCAGGAGACTCCAGCACGCAGCCAATGCCGAGAACTGTCGAGTGGTATGAGGGACAGACGAGCACAGAGGAGGTGTGCAGGACGTGGGAAGGATGTAGAGTGTTGTAATACCAGCTCTGGAAGGAGTGGAGGGATCCAATGTGGAAGTAGGATCTGGGGTTAGGAGGCCCACAGTAAGAGAGTTTAAGGGTAGGAATCCACCATAACCGTCAATGAAGCATATGTGTATTGGAAGTTCTGACTCTAACAAAAGTAAGTTCTCTGTATATCTTGAGGAGAGAGTGGGCAGAATCTTCCAGGTCTCTGGGAATGTGATTGCTAATTTATTTCTCCTTTGGCAATAGTGATCTGGGGAACTTCCACTCAGTAAACTGTCCTAACATTCATTAAATTACTCTTACTCAGAGAAGTAAGTAGAAAGCTGGGAACTAGGTACCATAGGTACCATAGGTGGGAACTCTCCCCTTACAAAAGGAGGGATTCCCAGCTATAGCAGACAGAAATGGGCATAAATAGCACAAGAGAGTAAGTGGCTTCAATTCTTTCTCTAACCTAGACACTCTGAATTGGGGCTGCTTCAGAATCACCTGGGGACTACATACCTCGAATGGAGCCCATATATTTTTTTAAAGATTTATTTATTTATACAAACACTGGGTACAGTCAGAAGCGCAGGAGAGTGAGAGAATTCACCAGAGCCAGAGCGGAGAACAGAACAGGCAGAAGGACCGAAGTACACTGCTGAGGGGAGCAGCGGGCGGCAGGAGAGGTCTGCGCGCCATGTGGGACCCTCGCCGGCAGCTGGGAATCAAACCGGCACTGCGGAAGCTGCAGGCAGCTTCGCAGCCCAGTGCTCGACTGCTGTGCCACCAGGGGAGGCCCAGGAGCCCATATTTTTAATAAATCCTTCAGCCTCCCGATTTTTCAGGATCACCACTCACCCAGTGGCTGAAGATGACAGACATTGAAAATATCTCAAGCACCCACCAAGTCTCAAACTCCAGCTTTCCAAGCAGGTGGAGAAAAATAATGTGTTTTCATTAACAAATGGTTTCTCATGCCAATTTATTATGCAGAAGACAAGGGCAGAGCAGGGACAGACCGTGGGGAAAGAGACAGACAGACACATGCATATATACATTAAATGGAAACTTCCATTCAGGGAAAAAGGGACTCTAGGGGTCTAGGCTGAGACCTCCTCACACTCCACAGGGGTCACGAGGTCAAGGCCACGCCCTTAGCAAAAGTGTCACATACACACTCCATCTCCTGATAAGAGTGCACAGTCCTTGATGTCTTTCCACCTCCACTCATGATGTCATGGAAACTGCTGTGGGGCTGGGCCGCTGAGCACAGCAGCCTCACCTCAGCTGTGGTGAGGAAGCCAAACCTCTGGGAAGGATGTGTTAGGGGACTCAAGGCAGCAAGTAGCCAAGGGAGGGGAGTGGAGCGGATCTTGCACCCCTACAGCCCATCAGGTCAGAAGCACCAGAGGACCAGGACTTGGTGGAGACTGCCCATCACACTGTCCACGTGGGGCAGAGGGAGGAAAGTGATGAAGGTGGCACACAGGTGGGCAGGGAGGGCGAGGGTGCAGCCAAGACAGGACCTCGCCCAAGGAACTTTGAAAAGTCCACGGGCCTGCCGAGTGTAAGAGATCATCTTTATTGGCTGAGCGGGGAGAGGAGGGACGGTCAATAACTGATGCTCCTGCACACAACCAGTCTCAGGTTCACTTGTTCCGATGCCAGTTTTCCCCAAGACTACTGTACTGGTCATTGTTCCGCTCTCGGAGGGGCTAAGATGAAGAGGGTGATAAAGGCAGGGTCAGAACTCTCCCAGGGAGGGCCCCAGATGTAAGTGCTCATGGCTGACCCTTCCAGACCCCCCAGTAATGAATTCCCTGCTAGGATCCTCCACATCTACACAGAACACCTATTGTCAGCCTCTCCCTGCCTGCTCAATCCACCCATTCTCACTTCATTGCCCCCAGGACTCACCTGATAGAGCTGGTCATTTCTCATCAAAACTTGAGTGTCAGCAGCTGGAAAAAGCATGGAAAAAGAGTCATCCAGGGCATTAGAGGATGGGACAGTGACACTCCAAGCATCTAATAGGGGTGCTGCTTGCACCCTCAGAAGTCTTGACAAGCAACATGGGCGCACAAGTTCTCTCAATAGCCAGTTGTAGGAGTCCTTATGAGACTGTAAGAGGAACTCTTGGGTGAGGACAAACCTGCTGACCCCTTCCTTATCAAATACACACTCAAACCCACATCTACAGCAAGTGTGTGCATGTACACACGTGCACACACAAACACACACATACGCACACACAAACACACATATATGCTCTGTCCCTTACCCGCAGAGAGCCTTCCAGTCTCATGTCCAGCAAAACAGTAAATTCCCAAGGCAAGGAGCAAAGTGGCTATGATGTCAGAGACCACGATGCCACTCAAAGTGCCTGAGTCCAGCTCCACACAGTTCTGGCACACTGTGGAGGAAGAGAGCCAAGAACAAAGATGGAGAGTTTTCTAAATCAGGAAACCATCTTGGCCTCATAAGGCAACCCCTGCGGAGAACTGAGAAGCAGTTTCAGCTTTGTGAGAACTTAAACAAGGCATTTTAGGTTGAACCAATCTCCCAACCAAGCCTTTACTGTTTGAGTCACAAGGTCCCTATTGTTCCTTCTCATTTAGTTAAGCTTTCTCCCTCTGAGGACCCCAAAGTCTGGCTCATCCCATTGTAGAGTGACTCCTGTTTGTTTAGAGAACAGACTAGTCCACCACAACCTTCTCATAAGCAGATGCCCCATCAATTCCAACCCAAAGACTCCAGAAGGTACATACTTCTATAATGTATTTGCAGAAAATCTTTGTTATTTTCACTGTTATTTTTGCATTCATATAATCCACGTGGGTCCAGCATACGTTTTCCTAAGTGTACAGCATAATTTTTCACTAATGTCCTCTCTGTTCCAATTATCTTTTCAATGGTGCCATTGGTGTTATTGCAAATCAAAAATACCATTTCCTCAATTTCCTTCACCTCCATCGCTGAGGAGCTCACTAAGAAAGAAAAAAACAAAAACAAAATTGGAGCCAGTTGTTTGGTCCGCACCAGATCCCTGGTCCTGGGAAGGTTCCTACGTAAGAAGGAGCACATTGCAAGTCTAGGACAGTTTATGTTTCTAATGAGAGAGACAGAAGTATTAAGAAAAGACTCTGAGAGACACCCCAACAAAATGCAGGGCCCAGGAAGAACCCAAGAATGCACTGCAAGCAGAGGACAGGCCCTGAGGAGCACTGAGTATCTACATTCTACAAAAATAGAATCGACATTCTCCTGAGCTTGGTACTCAGTTACCAATTTGGGTTCCTCAGCTTCCTCTAGAAAACCCCGAAAAAGTTACTTCTTATGCCTCTGAGCATATGCATCTATAGTCATGGAGAGATGCTTTACATCCTCCAGTCATGTCTTCCTTGGAGATCTGTTTCCAGTGGAAATCCTGGCTGTCCCAAAGCAGCTGCCTACTGAGGTCTTCGTTAAATCCAGTTTGCCTGGGATTGAGAGGGTTTCTGGGACATAAACCAGCAAGCCAGGATGAGTTGATCATCCTACTACCCCAAATCGTCCCTCCCGCCTACTAAATTTTTCTCTTAAAGCCGTCCTCTGAGCACTGGGGCATGGCCCTAGCGGTGATGACCAAGTGACCAAGAGTCTTGGATCCCAGAGGCCATCTGCCCTAGATGGAAAAGCTCCCCCATTTCCAGCGTTAGCCATAGCCACGCGCACATCGCAATCCTACAGATCTCTGGCCTAAGACCTTCAGGCAAAGACTCCCCCCAACTGGAGTCAGTCCCAGCCAAGAGGCTCTTTCCCATACCCTGTGCTACATCTCAATCCTCCCCTTCTTGACGACTCAGTGTGGTGAACCGAAGCTAGTATTGAGAAGGATTTTTAAGTAGACCGCACTCAAGATAGTAATATCCTCCCATGTCCCTTCTCCAAGATGCCCTCACCAACCTGGAGAAGTCTTACCTTGGAAGAGGAAGGCGGCCAACACCAGGCCACTCAGAAACCCGCTGTGTTCCATCTTCCAGCAGAATTTATCCAGTTGATAGACCCAGACCACAGAACTCTCAGCCAGGGAGAGAACTGCCCTCCCCCAACTGACTCACTGGTACCGGAAAAAGCAAAGGGTGGGGGAGGAACTACATGACACCCATTTTTCTGTTGTCTACCGTTGATGATGGGAGACTCTCGGGGTAGAGGGAGACTGGGGGTGGGGGAAAAAGGAAGCAGGTGCAAATTGCCCTTTCTCTGAACAGGGAGCGTGGGTGGGGCAAAGGGAGAGCAAAGAAGATGGAAAGGCTGCCTAGACTCCCAGAAAGTAAAAGATTTAGGAGGGCTTTCCTCCATCACTGATGAAAAACAGTAACTTCAGGGCCTGTCAGCAACATAACTGTGTTAACTCACCACCTAAAAACTGCCACCTCTGAGAACACTTGAGAAAAGCTGTCGGCCCAATCACATGAGCAAGACCTACTAGCCCTTCCCATTCCTGGTCTCGCTCGGGGCCTTTCCGTGGGCAGGCTGGGCCACCAGACTAAGCTGCTTCTTACCAGTGGGAGCCTGGGATTTAGAGTCCTCCCCCAGCTAGAGATTTAAATCTTTACTCCAATACTTCGTCCCAGCTGGGCCAGCACCAATCACGGAATTTTTCAGAGCCATTTCCCTCAGTATCATGATAAGGATTCCAATAAAATGCTTGCATGGGGTCTGACACATCATTTGTGCTCAATAAGAGATAGTTATTAGTTATAATATTATTGACTCACAGGCAGGATTCAGTGTCCCCTGGGAAAAATGGATTTTCTTCCCCTATGATATAAGGGAACCCAAAACTCTCAACATAACAGCAGATGAACTGTAATTTACCTGAGGGCAGAGTACACGTATGGCTGGATCATTTCTGTGTCTCCAATACCTGGCTTGTGCCTGGCACATAACCAGAATTCTGTATGTTTGTTGATGACTTACTGACCGAAGGAAGCAAGGGCCTGAGACCCTGGAAACAGAGCCCAGGCCTCTGGCCCCTGGAAAAGTATTACCCGTCTTCTTGGAATTGTACCCCCTATTTCCTTCTTGCAGGTACCTTTTTGATTATTTTATCTCAAAAGAATAGTGACAAACTTCTGAATGAGGGCCTGAGCTAAGGTGCTTTTCAATCAGAGTTCTAGCCCCAAGCACACAAGAGTTCCTATCTAAATCCACTGATACTTCCAATAAGCAACAAATGGCTGAGATCCTATCAACAAGTGGTAGCAGAGACATTTATCTCCCTCATGAAAAACAGAGCCAAGCCATCTTCTGCCCAGTCCCAGAAGTTGTTCTCTGTGCAAGCCAAATCTCTGGCTGGCAATCCATCACTCTGCCCCTCTGCGTCTCCAACATCTCCCACCCTCCACTCCTTAAAGAAAAAACAAGAGACATCTGCACCTGCAGCCCTGCTGAGGCCCCTACTGCCCACATTTGGAGCACAGGGTTCTTGCCTTCTCGAAGGTGCCCCAACCCAAAGGATGTGGGGCGGGGTCAGGCTTGCTGCTGAGCAGGCTAGCTGGCTGCTCCGAGCTCCTCAGTGCATCTGCCGAAGAACAGAGATTGACATGGCGCAGGAGAAGGGCCTGGTTGGCCTTTTCTTGGCTATCATTCTTCTTCAAGGTAAGGACCCACTAGGGTCTGGAGAAGGGCTCAAAGGAAGAGGTTATTACCAGGGGAAAAGATATTGGCATTCCTAACCTCAAGCCTGCCTCAGCTGTCACCCTAGAGTTCAGAGAAGAAAGGGCAAAAATGAAGGCTTTGACTGTTTTCTGCTCGAGAGAAACAATGTCCCAAGGAAGAGATGATATCCTTGTCTCTTAACAAATCAAAACAGAGGATTTAACTGGGTAGGGAGAACACCCACCTGCCGCCATCTTAGGTTCAATTATAACGGTAAAGGGCATAGGCAAGGAACCTAAAAAGAAATGTTTCCTTAGCTCACAGCTGAGGATGAGTGTAGACTGATGAAGCATTCCCTTCACTCCCTCATATGGTCAGCTGGTGAACAAATAGGAGTGAGATCCTATTATGCAGCAGATTGAAACATAAAAATGAATGAAAACCTTCTGCCCTAAGAAGTTCATAGTCGAAATGGAGAGTCACATTTCAATATTTCCAGGCTAGTATAAGGTGCAATTCACGGTGCCTGTACTAATATTAAAATATTCAGTTAGAAATAACCATCAGAAAGCGAATGAACCAGGTCTATTCCGGGTACCTGGATTAGAGATAATTTTCCACACACTGGGGAAGGGAAGGAAACTCAAGTTGTGGAAGTTGCTGAAATCACACATGTGGTATGTGAGGGAAAAGCTAAGAATGGAACTGTGAGGATTCTGACTTTTAAGGGACAGTTAGAAAAACTATCTCAGTAAAGAGATAAGGCAATAATCTAAGAGTTTAAATAATCAGGTGAGTTCAATACTCTGGAACCACGGAGGTAGAGAACTTCCAGAAGGAGAGATTAGCTAAGAGTATGACATGTTAAAGAGAGAGCCACTAATAGAAGAATATATTTAAAAGTTTAAATCTGTGGGACTTTTCAAGAATAAAGATTATAGATAATTTAGTGGGTTGGGGTACGACAAGTAGAAACCAAATGGAAATGAGTGAAAGTGAAGGAGAGGTAATGAAGTGCAGCAAGTGTAGACTATTTTTTTTTTTAAAGAGGCATGTATTTTTATTTATTTATTTGTTTTTTGTTTATTTGTTTGTTTATACAAGCACTGGGTACAGTCAGAAGCACGGGAGGGTGAGAGAATTCACCAGAGCCAGAGCGGGGAGCAGAGCAGGCAGAAGGACCGAAGTACGCTGCTGAGGGGAGCAACGGGCGGCAGGAGAGGTCTGCGCACCATGTGGGACCCTCCTCCGGTGGCCGGGGAGCAGCCGGGGATCGATCTGGCGCCGCAGAGGCCGCGGGCAGCTTCGCAACCCAGCGCTCAACCGTTGTGCCACCGGGGAGGCCCAATTTTTTTTTTTTAAAGAAATTTAGTGAGAAGGGAGGAGAAATAGAGTGGTAGGTAGAGGGGAAAGTGAAGTCTAAGAAGAATATTTTTTAATTAATATTTTATTTTATATAATTCTTACATCATTTTTCATTTTTGCACAATGTATGCACTTTCATTTTGGTTATATTCCCCACACAATTGTAGGCCCCTCTTATTTTTTTTTAAATAATAAATTTTATTTTTATATTCCCATACAATTGCAACCCCCCCATTCTGACCCTAATCCCTCCCCTCCCGCCCCCCACCCCCCAAAAAGTGTCTCTGGTTCATAGTTTTTTGTTGATTTTGATTTTCACTTTCTTATAGTTATTCATTTTCCTGGTCCCTTATTTAAGTTTTCTAGATTCCTGCTATGAGTGAGACCATCCGGTATTTTTCTTTTTCTTTTTGGCTTATTTCGCTGAGCATGATCCCTTCCAGCGCCATCCATGTTGCTGCAAATTGCATGTGTTTATCTTTTTTGAATGCTGAGTAATATTCCATGGTATATATGTACCACATCTTCTTGATCCAGTCATCTATTTTGGGGCATTTGGCCTGTTTCCAAAGCTTAGCTATTGTAAATAGTGCTGCTATAAACATAGGGGTGCAGGTGTTCTTTGGAATTGATGTTTCTGTGTCCTTTGGGTAAATACCTAGGAGTGGAATTGCTGGATCATATGGAAGCTCTATGTTTAGTAGGTCCAGAAATCTCCACACAGCTCTCCATAGTGGTTGGACCAGTTTGCACTCCCACCAGCAGTGCAGAAGAGTTCCTTTTTCTCCACACCCTCGCCAACATTTGTTGTTGCTAGTTTTTTTAATATGTGCCATTCTCATTGGTGTAAGATGGTATCTCATGGTAGTTTTGATTTGCATTTCCCTGATTGCAAGTGATGTTGAACATTTTTTCATATGCCTGTTGGCCATTCACATTTCCTCTTCAGAGAAGTTTCTTTTTAGCTCTTCTGCCCATTTTTTGACTGGGTTATTTTCTTTGTTGTTGTTGAGTCTCATCAGCTCTTTGCAGATTTTTGTGATCAGTCCTATATCATTAGTGTTGGGTGCAAAAATGTTCTCCCAGTCCGTGGGGTTTCTCTTTGTTTTTGTTATTGTCTCTTTTGCTGTGCAGAAGCTCTTTAATTTGATGTAGTCCCAGCTGTTTATCTTTGCCTTCACTATCACTGCTTTGGGTGATGTGTCTGTAAAGATGTCTTTGATGTGCAAATCACGTAGTGTTTCACCTATATTTCCTTCTATGTATTTTATAGTTTCAGGTCTTATGTCTAGTTCTTTAATCCATTTTGAGTTGATTTTTGTGTATGGTGTGAGGTAGTGGTCAAGCTTCATTCTTTTGCATGTAGCGACCCAGTTTTCCCAGCACCATTTATTGAACAAACTTTCTTTGCTCCAATGCATAGTCTTTGCTCCTTTGTCAAATATTAGTTGACCATAAATCTGTGGGTTTATTTCTGGATTTTCTATTCGGTTCCATTGGTCTGTATGTCTGTTCTTGTTCCAATACCATGCAGTTTTGATGATTATGGCTTTGTAGTAGAGTTTGAAGTCTGGGAGTGTGATGCCTCCATTCCCTTCTTTTTTTTTTTTTTCAGGGGAGCTTTGGCTATTCGGGGTTTTTTGTGATTCCATATGAATTTCATCAATAATTGTTCTATTTCTTTGAAGAATGACATTGAAATTTTGATTGGAATAGCATTGAATCTGTATATTGCTTTTGGTAGGATGGCCATTTTAATAATGTTTATTCTCCCAATCCATGAACAGGGGATGTCTTTCCATTTCTTTGTGTCTTCTTCTATTTCTTTTAACAGTGTTTTATAGTTTTCTTTGTATAAGTCCTTTACCTCTTTTGTTAAATTTATTCCCAGATATTTGATTTTTTTTGTTTCAATAATAAAAGGGATGGTTTTCTTGATTTCTTCTTCTTCATATTTATTGTTTGTGTATAGGAAGGCTACTGACTTTTGCATGTTGATTTTGTATCCTGCCACTTTACTGAACTGATTGATGAGTTGAATTAGTTTTTCTGTGGAGTTTTTGGGGTTCTCTATGTATATTATCATATCATCTGCAAATAGTGATAGTTTGACTTCTTCTTTTCCTATTTGGATTCCTTGTATGTCTTTCTCTTGTCTTATTGCTCTGGCTAGGACTTCCAGTATTATATTGAAAAGCAGTGGTGAGAGTGGACATCCTTGTCTTGTTCCAGATCTTAATGGAATTGCTTTCAGCTTTTCACCATTGAGAATGATACTGGCTGTTGGCTTGTCATATATGTAGGCCCCTCTTATTTTGACCCTAGTCCTTCCTCTCCCCTCCCCTCCATGCCCCCCCCCTTGTGTGTCTCTGGTTTATAGTTACTTGTTGATTTTGATTTTTACTTTGTATTAATTAGTCTTTTTCCTGGTCCCTTATTTAGGTTTTCTAAATTCCTTCTATGAGTGAGATCATCCGGTATTTTTCCTTTTCTTTAAGAAGAAATTTTTTTGAGTGTGAAAGAATCTTGAGCACATTTCTAGGTTAAAGTAGAAAATAGTGAGTAGAGAGAAGTTGGGTTGATACTGAAATGATGGAGTCAAAAGTAGGATTAGGGGGCCTCCCCTGGTGGCTCAGTGGTTGAGCGCTGGGTTGCGAAGCTGCCCACAGCTTCTGAAGCACTGGTTCGATCCCTGGCGGCTGGCAGGGTCCCACATGCACTCAGGCCTCTGCTGCCTCTCCTGCCTCTCCTGCTGTGCCCACTGCTCCCCTCAGCAGTGTATTTCGTCAGTCTGCCTGTTCTGCTCCCGGCTCTTGCTCTGGTGAATTCTCTCACCCTCCTGTGCTTCTGACTATCTATCTTTTCGTTAATTCTTTTGAAACAGCAACTAGTTCTTACCATCCTTTTCTTTCACACTGCTGTATCATGTCAGGTACCTGATGGAGTTCAGTAAATATCTGCACTAAATCCAATTGAATTGATTTTCCCTCCCAAGGCTCAAAGTCCAAATTCTCTAATCACTTGGGTGTCCAATCCATCCAGGGTCATCACACTAACATAAATTAACATGTGGTCCAGGAGTCCACCAAGAATAACAAAGACTTTGATTTTACGCATGAAATTCCAAGGATTTAGAAACTCCCTCCCAGGAAACCAAGACCAGACAAAAACACCCAAAATTCAGTTTGGTGATTTAGGTTACAGCCCAGGGAAGTAGGAACAGATGCTGTCACTCCATCTTGACCTCAAATGACCATAGAAATGATACTGTTAAAGAGAAAAATTCACACAACAAAATTTAGAGATCTAATTGGCTCTATGAAAACATTCATGAATCGGGCGATATCCCCTCTAGCAAACAGAAAATCTCTGCAAGCACCTGGGCAAAATGGAAGGCTTTTAATCATCAGGAAAAGAATGAGACAAGGTTGTTAGCAAAAGAAAGAAAGATTAGTTCAGGTAAAGCGACCCTCCCTCAGGGGAGAGGATGGTCTTATGCAAATTACCTCACTATTGCTAACCAAGAAACTCCAGCTGGATTGGTTTAGAATCCCACTTTTGGGAGCTGAAACTGCAATTAGAGTAGGCATTAGGACTTGGCCCTGTTGGCATGACTCCATTTTAGGTCTGTTGTCATTTTTCTTAACAATACTGTAAAGGCCAGGACTGGACACAGTGCAGGTTCTCTGATCCCATGCAGACCGGATAAAGGAGGAGTCAGAGTCCTTAGTGGCTTTTGCAGGTCTTTTATTGGGGTTCACCAGGCATATGGCAGGCAGGGGTGCTGGCTGGGGGGCTGGAAGGCTGGCAGGCCTCCCAGCCCCCAGCAAGTCTTCACTCTATCTGAGCTCTCTGGAGTTCGTTCTGCTGCTTCTCGGCTTCTCTTTCGGCTTCAGCTTCGGCTTCTACTGCTGCTGATGGCGTCCCCGTGACGCCGCCCTTAAAAGCACAGTCTTAGCTCAGCTGAATCCTATCTACCTATGCCCACACCCTATTCCAGGTGCCCGCCATCAGGCATGCATTCAGGACAAGGATCCATCATCTATCCTGATGGCGGAAGGGCAGAAAAGCCTGACATTTTCTTTACCCTACAAATACCTAAAGTATTGGGCCTCCCCGGTGTCCGCAGCCTCTGCAGCGCCGGTTCAATTCCCCGCTGGCCAGGAGAACCCCACATGGCGCAGCAGACCTCCCCTGCCTCATCCGCTGCTCCCCTCCGCAGTGTGTTCGGTCGGTCTGCCTGTTCTGCTCCCCCTCTGACTCTGGTGAATTCTCTCACCCTCCCACGCTTCTGATTTGTACCCCAGTTCTTGTATGAATAAATAAATAAATTAAAAAAAAAACAATACCTAAGGTATTAACAATACCATACCCAGCTGATCCTCTCCATCTCACTTTTGTCTTTACAGGTACTTTGGCCCAGGAGGGAAAAGGTAGGGGAAATAGCTTCTTCCTTTCTTCAAATTGAGGAAATATTGCTTCTTATAACTGAAGTCCAATAGGAGTAAGTGAACACTTTAGAAGGGGTGGGATGAAAGGGATAGATAACTGCACCTCCACTGTCAACCAAATCAATGTCCAGTCATGACCTTTCTATGCAACTTCCCTGTAGCTAAGCAATTAATTTCCTGGTTTCCCCAAGAGAAACAGGACCCTAGAAGGTAAGGCACTATTCAAAGTGCAATCAAATAATCAACAGCATTGGCATCATTTGGGAGCATGTTACAAATACAGAATCTCAGCTTTCCCTGAACTACTGAATAGAACCTGAAGGTGTAACTACCCTCCCATGTGACTCATGGGCACATTAAAATTGGAGAAGCACTACTGTAATGGCCTTCTCCTAACTCCCTGAGGCAGGAAAAATTTCAGAGACAAGATCCATAACAGATGTTGGTTTTTCCCTTTTCAGAAGAACTGAAAATAACAGTGGTCGATGAAGATGGCTCAGTACTTCTGAACTGTAACGGGACAAAGGAAAAGGTCACATTTTATAAAGATGGCATGGAAATAGATACAAATCAAAATTCCTTGGATCTTGGAAGTAGTATCAACGACCCTCGAGGGACATATTGGTGTGCAAAAGGAGAAAAACGTTCACAAAACCTCCAACTGTTTTATAGAAGTATGTCATTCCTTTCATTTACCTATGGGGAAACTAAGCAGCACTTGCTGTTCTGATGAACTTCCTGACAGGGGTAGACTTGCCTCTTTTGAAATTTAACAAGACACAATTCCCCCAGCTTCTTAAAAAAAAAAAAGCATAGCCAGTCCTGGGCAGCTTAGCCTACCTTTATTTAGGTGGACCCCAGAGATCGGAGCAGTCAGAAATTTCTATAAAATGATTTGGGGTGGGTAAGGGAAACAATGGAGATTATAAGGTGAACAGCAGTAAAATATAGAGGGCATTGAATTTGGGGTCTGGTTTTCCTTCTATTTCACATAGTTCCTGTTAGTAAGAATACAGGGCTTCTTCAGGACTCCTGGGAATAGCACAACATCAAGATGCATTTCATTCTTGGTCCAGGCAATTCCCCACCCACAGAGAGAAGGGCCTGTTACCTTCAAGGGAAGCATTATCACTGGCAGGTAGAAGAAAAAGATTCAGAGCAACTTTCACACCGTGAAGAGACTTGTCCTTCCTTTCCCTACAGTGTGTCAGAACTGCATTGAGCTGAATGCAGCCAGCATATCTGGCTTTGTCTTGGCTGAAATCATCAGCATTTTCTTGCTTGGTGTTGGGGTCTACTTAATTGCTGGACAGGATGGAGTTCGCCAGTCAAGAGGTAAAAGAATGTTCTTAGATGAGAGATGAACCTATCTGGTCTTCCTACCAAAATAGATCCAGTAGAAGATATTGAGTTGGTATTTGTCACTAATGAGCACAAAAGTTGGTTGAGGCGGTGTGAAGGCAGGACTGAACACAGTGCAGTTTTTCTGATCCCATGCAGACCGGGTAAAGGAGGAGTCAGAGTCCTTAGTGGGTTTTTTGCAGGTCTTTTATTGGGGTTCACCAGGCATATGGCAGGCAGGGGTGCTGGGGGGCCGGGAGGCTGGCAGCCCTGCCAGCCCCCAGCAAATCCTCACTCTATCTGGGCTCTCTGCTTCTGCTGCTACTTCTCTGCTTCTCTCTCGGCTTCTCTCTCGGCTTCTTCTGCAGCTGCTTCTGCTGCTGCTGGCGTCCCCGTGACGCTGCCCTTAAAAGCAGTCTTAGCTCAGCTGAATCCCATCTACCTATGCCCACACCCTATTCCAGGTGCCCGCCATCAGGCATGCATTCAGGACAAGGATCCATCATCTATCCTGATGGCGGAAGGGCAGAAAAGCCTGATATTTTCTTTACCCTACAGGCGGGCAGGGGAAAAGGACACTTGATGTTTCACAGAATATTTACCAGTGTCAAGATCCAACTACCTCTAATCTACCTCTAAGTGTTTCTTAAACACTTTCTATTGAGGCAAAATCTACACACAGAAAGGTACATGAATCACAATGGTACAACTAAAAAAAAAAATTAACAAGATAAGCACACTCATAAACCCAGCACCCGGTTTAAGAAAGAGAATATTGCCAACATCCTCAAAGTTCCCCTGTGGTCACTTTCAGCTTCTATTTATGCCTCAAAGTGGGCACTAGCCTCACTTCTAACAACACGGATCAATTTCACCTGTTTTTTCCCCACTGTAATTAGATGCATATGGTGAGCCCTCTTGTGTGTTACTTGCTTTACTTAACAATGTGTTCGCAAGATCTGACTGTTTTATTGTATATAGATGTATTCCACTAATTCTTCTTGCTCTTTAGAACTCTATTGTGTGACTATAACCCGATTAAATACCCATCCTACCTTGTTTGCTTTTCATGCAGCTTCAGACAAGCAGATTCTGTTGTCCAATGACGAGCTCTACCAGGTAAGGAAAGGGGAATGAGAGCCATGGATGCAATTAATGATCGTTAAAATTTGGGGATTGGCCAGAAGGGGGTGGAGTAATTTGGAAGATCCTATACAGACAAGTAGCTGCTGAGGGCAAACTAGGTGATAGAATAGCTCTCCCTTTGGGCACAATGGATGAAAGAAAGAGAAAGGTGGAAAGGGACTGAGTCAGGATATAGTTAGAAAAAGTTGAATGTGCTGGGAATATAAATAGAGTCTCTGTAGTGGTCAGGAATGGACACGGTGCAGGTTTTCTAAGATCCAGCAGACCAGGTAAAGGAGGAGTCAGAGTCCTCAGTGGTATTTTGCAGGTCTTTTATTGGGATTACCAGGTATATGGCAGGCAGGGGTGCTGGGAGGCTGGCAGGCTGGCAGGCCTCCCAGCCCCCAGCAAGTCTTCACTTTATCTGGGCTCTCCGGCCTTTTCTGCTTCTCTCGGCTTCTGTTTGTTCTTCGCTTCTTGGCTTCTACTGGCGTCCCCGTGACGCTGCCCTTAAAAGCACAGTCTTAGCCCAGGTGAATACCATCTACCTATGCCCACACCCTATTCCAGGTGCCCGCCATCAGGCATGCATTCAGGACCGCAAGTATCCATCATCTAGCCTGATGGCGGGAGGGCAGAAAAGCCTGACATTTTTTTCTTACCCTACAGTCTCCTTGTGCTCTTTCCACCCCCAGAATCACAAAGCACCCACTCCAAAACCTTGCACACTAAAAGCACTCAGTAAATATGCATCAAATGAATCCATAGAGCATGGGGTCGGTGGGGGAAGAGTTTATGCTTGTCCCATCCTTTTTAGCCCCTCAAAGAACGGGAGGATGACCAATACAGCCAGCTTCAAGGAAAACAACCGAGGAAGAAATGAACTCTGGCTGCAAAGTAGGTATGTCCTTCCCCAAAATTCTAAAAAAGTGCCTTTGCATTATTACCTGTCCTCCCAACTGCTGCCCACTCTGTCTTATTTTCCTAAGCAGTTATGAGAATCAGGTTTGATGGCGGGGTTAATTGTGGAGATGCATTTCTGAAAGTACTGGGGCCAGTGCTAATTTTCTTGTCCTAAAAAAATAAAAAAGCTGGACCTCGCTGGCGTGCAGGGGTTAAAGTCTGAGCATCATCGAGCTATCCCCAGCCACTGTCACCTCAGTTCCATCCCAAGCCTGGGAGCTGACCCAAATGGTGCCGCAGACCTTTCCTGTCTAACCTGCTGTTCCCCTCAGCAGTGTATTTCAGTAGATCCTCTTGTTCTGCTGCTTACTCTGTCTCGGGTGAATCCTCTCACTGCCCACACCTCTGGCCTAAACCCCAGTTCTTGTATGCATAAATAAATAAAATAAATCTTAAATAAATATATATATATAAGCTAAAAAAAAAAGTGAAAGAAAACTATCTGTGTTGTCAATCCTTCGAGAACAGGACCTCAAGCAATAGAGATGCTAAACATTAATAGTAATCTATACCAGGGTTTCTCAATATCCACACTATTATCATTTTGGACTAGATAATTATTTCAGGAGGGGAGGCTGTTTTGTGTGTTGTAGGTTTTTAGCAGCATCACTGGCCTCTATCTGGATGCCAATAGTAGCCCCCAGTTGTGACAACAAAAAATATCTGCAGTTATTGCAAGAGTTCCCTCAGGGACAAAATCTTCCTTAGTTAGAACCACTGACCTATATTAACCTTTCACTCAACAATTAGTAATCAGGAGTTCTGAGTCACCCATGAGTTGCAATCGGGAAAACAGGGCCCATGCATTATTTGGTTTTCTGAATCAATTGCCATTTTTCTTTTTTTTTTTTTTAAGATTTATTTATTTATTTATTTATTTATACAAGAACCGGGGTACAGGCCAGATGTGGGAGTATGAAAGGATTCACCAGAGACAGAGCGGGGAACAGAACAGGCAGATTGACTGAAATACACTGCTGAGGGGAGCAGTGGGAGAGCAAGGAGAGGGCTGCCGCGTCTTGTGGGTTGTGGGGATCGAACCGGCACTGCAGAGGCTGTGGACAGCTTCACAGAGCTGCACTCAACCGCCTGTGCCACCAGAAAAAACGCCCATTTTTCTTGTTTTCATCCAGGTGTTCTGCCTTCTAACCAGTTCTCAAAAAACAAACCAATATATTTTGGAAACTTCTTAGCAGAGAGACTTTCACTTGTACATCTAGACTCAAAGTTCCCAATAAAGAAGAAAAGCCATCAGTACAAATTTGGGTTTTTCGCAAAATAAAAGTAAAAACCGTGTAGTGTTTTAGGAGCGCCACCTATTGGAAGGTAGATGTACTGTAAGGGAAAAAGGGACAGATCAAATTACCAATTTTTTAATTTTTTTTAAAAGATTTATTTTTTATTTATGCGATAGCTGGGGTACAGGCCAGAGGCGCGGGAGGGTGAGAGGATTCACCAGAGACAGAGTGAGGAGCAGAACAGGCAGATGGACCGAAAGCACTGCTGAGGGGAGCAGTGGGCCGGACAGGAGAGGTCTGCAGTGCCGCATGGGAATCTCCCTGGCTGGCCAGGAATCGAACCCGCGCTGCAGAGGCTGCAGACAGTTTTAGAGCACTGCGCTCAACCCTCTGCGCCACCGGGGAGGCCTAATTTTTTTTAAAAAAGATTTATTTATTTATGCATACAAGAAGTGTGCAGCCAGAGATGTGGTGGGTGAGAGGATTCGCCAGAGATCTGCCTGTTCCATTCCCCACTCTGTCTCTGGCGAATCACATTTCACCTATTCTCAGTAATTTTAGCAAACTTACCCATTTTTCTTTTATGGATTATGTTTTTGGTGTCATATCTAAGAAATCTCTTTTTTTACTTTCATCACCACAATCCAGTTCAAGAACATTTCCCATCACTCTTTTTTTTTTTTTAAGATTTATTTATTTATACAAGAACTGGGGTACAGGTCAGAGGCACGGGAGGGTGAGAGAATTCACCAGAGACAGAGCAGGGAGCAGAACAGGCAGATGGCCAGGAATTGAACCCGCGCTGCACTGGGAGTCGAACCGGAGGCTGCTGACAGCTTCAAAGCACTACGTTCAACCGGCTGCACCTCCAGGGAGGCCCTCACATCACTCCCTTAAGAACCTTTGTACAGGGCCTCCCTAGTGGCGCAGCGGTTGAGCGCTGGGTTGCGAAGCTGCCCGAAGCCTCTGCAGCGCCGGTTCGATCCCCGGCTGCTTCCCAGCCACCAGAGGAGGGTCCCACATGGCGCGCAGACCTCTCCTGCCGCCCACTGCTCCCCTCAGCAGTGTGCTTCGGTCCTTCTGCCTGCTCTTCTCCCCGCTCTGGTGAATTCTCTCACCCTCCTGCGCTTCTGACTGTACCCAGTGCATGTATAAATAAATCTTTAAAAAAAAAAAAAAAAAAAAAGAACCTTTGTACAGTTTACAACCATTCCTGTTCCCACCCTCAACTCTGAGCAACCCACTAATCTCTTTTCTGTCTCTTTAGATTTGCCTTTTATGGACATTTCATATAAATGGAACCATAGAATATGCTGCTCTGGACATCCCCATGGAAGTCTTCATGTGGACATATGTTTTCATTTGTCTGGGGCATATGCAGGAGTGAAGAATTGCTGAGTTGTATGGTAAATTCATGTTTAACTTTGGAAGAAGCTACAAAATTATTTTCCAAACTGGCTCTGCCATTTTACATTCCCACCAGCAATGGATGAGGGTTCCCACTTTTCCAAGCTTTCACAAATATATGTTACTATTTTTTTAATATAGTCTATAGTAGAGGTTAAACAGTATCTTATTGTAACAAATAAAAGTAATGATGTTGGGTATCTTTTCATGTGTTTATTAGCCATTCTTAAATCTTTAGTGAAATGCTCATTCAAATCTTTTTTTAATCGGGTTTTTTATCTCCTTATTTTATCTCCTATTGAATTGTAAGGGTTCTTATATATATTTGAGTACAATTCTTTTACTAATTATATGACTTACAAATATATCTACCAATTTGTAGTTTATCTTTTCATTTACTTAATAGTACCTTTTGAAATGCAAGAATTTTTAATTTTAATGAATTTTATTTTACCCATATTTTTCCTTTTATGGATTGTGTTTTTGGTGTCCTGGCTTAAGAACTCTTTGCCAAACCCAGCCCTACAAATATTTCTCATATCTTTTTATAGTTTATGAAGTTTTATAGTTTCAGCTATAACAATAATTGTCATTGGGAACATGCTTGAGATTATTTGTAACAAATACAAATAAATGGAATTGCTGAACCATGATATATTTGCATTGTGTGACAATGTATTCAGTGACATTAAATGCATTCTCAATATTGTACAACTATCACCACTGTCCATTTTCAGAACATTTTCATCATCCTAAACAAACTTTGTGTGCATTAAAAAATAATTCACCTTTCCTCCTTCTCACCAGCTCCCCCAAATAACCTATATTCTACTTTCTGTTTCTATGAATTTGCATGTTTTAGGTACTATAAATAAATGGAACCGTATGATAGTCGCTCCTCTGGGTCTGGTTTATTTCACATAGCACGGTGTTTCCAAGGTCCCTCCATATTGTGACATACATCAGAATTTCTTTCCTTTTAAAGTTGAATAATAGTCAATTACATATATATATGTCACATTTCTGTTAATTCAGTCATTCATCTTTTGATGGATTTTTTTTGGTTGTTTCCACATTTTGGCTATCATGAATAATGTTGCTATGAACACTCATGTACAATAATATTTTTGAGTCCTACTGCAATTCTTTTAGGGATAAACCCAAAAGTGGAATTGCTGCATCACATGGTAATTCCATCTTCAACTTCTTGAAGAACCACTATGATTCCTATTTCTCCATATCCTTATCAACAATTATTTTTCAGTTGCTTTGTTGTTGGTTTTTTTGTTGTTGTTGTTCTTGTTGTTTGTTTGTTTGTTTTTTAAAGATTTATTTATAGAAGATCCGGGATACAGACCAGATGCGCCGGAGGGAGTGAGGGATTCACCGGAGACAGAGAGGGGAACAGAACAGGCAGACTGACTTCGTCAGAACACACTGCTGAGGGGAGCAGCGGGCGAGACAGGAGATGTCTGCCATGCCATGTGGAACCCTCACCAGCCCTTTGGGATTGAACCCGTGCTGCCGAGACTACAGACAGTATCACAGCGCAGCGCTCAACTGCCTGCGCCACCAGGGGAGGCCCCACTTGTTTTGTTTTTTATAATAGCCTTCCTAATGGGTGTGTGGTGGCAGTACCTTGTGGCTGGAACTTACTTTGCATTATTGATTAATTATGTTTAGCATATTTCCTGGGCTCATAGACCATTCATATATCATATCTTAGAGAAATGCTTATTCAAGTCCACTGCCCATTTTTAATCGCATTGGGGCTTTTTAAAAATCAATTTGCACAAGCTTTTTATACATAGTGGGTATTAGTCCTTTACCAGCTGTATGATTTACAAATATTTTATCACATTTTATGACTTATCTTTTCACTTGAAAGTATTTTACTCCCATTACCTTTGTGTACCTCAAAGTAATCTGGTAGGCAGCCTCCCCTGGTGGCGCAGCAGTTGGGCTCTGGGTTGCGAGGCTGCCCACAGCCTCTGCAGCGCCAGTTCGATCCCCGGCCACCGGCGAGGGTCCCAAAAAAAAAAAAAAAAAAAAAAAAGTAACCTGGTAGGACGTGTATTGTCTCCAAATTACAGATAAGAAAACAGTGCATTCGTGAAGGAAACTCTATGGGGACTACACCTGAGCACCTGAGGGGGTGGGGGGGAAGCAAATATTGTTTAAAAATGAACAATGGGGCCTCCCTGGTGGCACAGAGGTTAAGCGCTGGGATGCGAAGCTGCCCGCAGCCTCTGCAGTGCCGGTTCAATCCCCAGCTACTCCCTGGCCACTGGAGGAGGGTCCCACATGGCGCGCTGACCTCTCCTGCCGCCCGCTGCTCCCCTCAGCAGTGTACTTCGGTCCTTCTGCCTGCTCTGCTCCCCGCTCTGGCTCTGGTGAATTCTCTCACCCTCCCGCGCTTCTGACTGTACCCAGTGCTTGTATAAATAAACAAACAAACAAACAAATAAATAAATCTTTAAAAAAAAAATAAAAATGAACAATGATGTAAAAAAATAAAAAAATTAATATAAAAAAGAAAAGAAATCCAATCAGAGATAACGTATTTTTTCATACATATCCAAAAGGGTAAGTTTATTATATTATAAAGGAAAGAAAGAGATGCCTGCATAGACACAGGCGGGCAGGAGAGCTGCCAACTTACTTTCCTCAGTGCTGCTGCCTGGCACCTAACAATATAAAGGGCGCAAAACCTCGTTATTGTTATTACTGTTATTGCTGTTGTCGTTGCTTCATAGATGGTAACACTCTAGAAGAGCAACAGGACCTGATTCAAAAGGTCTAAGACCGCTCGGGAAAACAGAAAGCAGAAGCCCACAGGGTTTGCTCCCCGCAGAGGCAGGCAGCAACAGGTCTTATCTTACTTTAGGAGACACAGGTTTCCAAGCCCTGCCAGTTCCCTGAGCTCCGCCCCGCTCCCCAGTCCGCCCCGGCCACTTCCGCCCCGCCCCCGGGTAGCAAACGCCGGGGCCGCAGAGGACTTTGCGCGCCTGTTTGGTGCGTCTGGCCCAGTTTCCGGCGCGCAGTTGAGTTTCCACCCGAGTGGCGCCCAGTGCTGATGTCATCTCCGGTTGCCGTGCTGAGTCGGAAGTGGGGACCCTTCGGCCACTGAGACTCTGTCGTGTCGTCGCTGCTGGCCGTTCTGGCTCTGGTAAGAAAGGAGGTAACTCGAGGGGAGGGGGTCGTTGAATCTGCGATGGCATTTCTTTCTCCTGGCCCTGGCCTCTGGGTTATTGCCTCCAAATTCCTTCTGTGCTGTCCTGACCACTGACCCTCTCCTTCGTGAACTTCGACCCTGTCGGTTTGGGAACCCCTTACAGTGCGCCAGCTTCTGACCTCACTCCTGCTCTCTGCCGTGCTCTTCTGGAGAAGGCTGGAGTGCCGACCTTGCGTTAGCTTTCCTTTCTCTAGAACGTGCGCGGAGTGGGTGGGTCTCCCTGTTCGCGGCGGATCCCTTATGGAACCTGGAGGGATAAAATTCGAAGAGTAGACAACAGATAGCCAGATGCCAGAGAAGATAAAATTAAGCCCAAGTCGTAGTAATCAAACCAGTTTAATACATATGGGAAACTGTTGACATTGCTTAAGACAAAAGGTTAGTTCACCACTCAACTTTCTGTACTCTGTTCCCTCAGCCACTGGTTGTAGAAGACACTTCTAAAATTGAGCAACCATATCAGGTGCTTGTATTTGATGGGCCTTTTCTTTGGGAGCAGTTTTTCCGATCTCAAAATGAGCCTGTGTTTAAAGTCACTGTCATGGTCTATTTTGGTTCTAGGTGTGAGCACTTTTGAGATAAAATCGGACCCAGGAAGGAATGCTGTCTGTTTTTTGATTGCATGAGATTCTTGTAGCTTGCTGATGTGTTGAAAGACTCTGTCGCCACATTACAGGGGCCTGAAAAGATTAGTGGGTGTAACATGTAACAATGAAAACATTTTTTCTAAATCCTCTTTTGATTTAATTTATTTATTATCAAGACAGAGACTTTATGGAGTATGACTGAATAGTGTTTGATTTTGACGATCCCAGTTTTGTGAAATATCCCATTATTCCTGTTTAAAATTAATACCAAGCCTTATGCTAAAACATTTGTGTGCTCAAGTCTTCAAGCGCTTCAGGAGCTTCAGTGGCCATTAGGGATTAGCACTACTTCCCATCAACAAAAGATTTAATCACGGAGAGAATTTTGTATGGCTAGTGGTAGACAACTATTATAGATTTAAGGTGAACCAAATGCAAAAATTTCTAAGGGTTGATGGTTGTATCATTTCAAAGGCTGACAACAGAATAGTGTTGTGTCCCTATGACAGTTGTAAATAGAAGACTATATAAATCTTCACTGACGTTGTTGAATGTTAAAGTCAACAAAATATCAAGGTTCCATGTTATCAGCATTTTCTTTTGGAGTGGGTACTATCCAGGTACTCTTTGTACTTATAAGACCACTGACATCTCCACAAAGATTCCCATCAGTGAGAGAACCTGTAGAACTTCTCTGTAAGTGAGTGTGCACAGTATTAGCCTTCTTTTCTATAAAAATAGCTTGTGCACAGAAGTACATAGGGGAAGATGAATTTAGGTAGATAAGCGAAACACTTTTTTCAAAGACAGACAACAGAGATAAGAATAGATTTATCTCTGATCTATTCTGAAATAGAACTAAAATACCAAAAGGCCACAAGTATCTGGCCCAGTAACTAGATCTTCTACTTCAACCCAAGACAAAGAGTAAAACCCTTACCTTAAAATAGGATTGTGGGTACTTCTATTGATTACAGGAGGTTAAGAGTAATTGCACATATGATTGAATCCTTCAATAAATATTTATTTGGGATTTCATGATTATAATATATAATGCCAGACAGAAGAAAAATAATTAAATATGTACCCGTACTCAGATTCTTGCCATCTAGTAAGGTAGAAGATATGCATTAGGAAGACAATGAAGAAAAATTTTAAATCCTTTTAATATTGATAAAGTGTAATGGGAAGCTACTTTATATAACATAAAGTATAGTATTAAGAAAGGAGAAGATAATTCCATTTATAATGATAATTCCTTGCTATCTATCATAATAGTTTTAAGCACCTGCCAGTGTTATGTGTTCTATTTTCCTGGCTTTCAA